TTTTCATTTCTGCTGGTCGACAATTGTGCTTTACCTGTAGTTTATGCGCGGGCTCTCTCTCTCTCTATCTTCCGCTCTCCCGCTCTGCCGCACTCTTCAGCTCGCTCTCTTCGGCTCTCACACTCTTTGGCCGCGGCGGGGAGGGCTGCTTTTGTGTATTGAATTAGACGACTGCACAAATTACGTTAAATTTTTTTTGGCGCTCGTTTTTGTTGTTGTCGCAGCAACAAGCGCAAAAAAGTTTGCCATTTTTTTGCTACTGCTTCTGCTGCTGTTGTTGTTGCTGCTTTTGTTGCCATTGTATGCCCTAACCTTGAAACCAAATTTTTGTTGTGTCGTGTTGTCTTCTTCTTCTCAGTCTTTTTTTGCGCTATGCCAGATAAATACAATAGATAGATAGGCCCGTGGGTTCTAGTGTGCGTGCGTGTGTGGGGCTTTTAGTTCCCCAATAAATTGGCTAAATAAAAATTGAAGTTGTAAATCAATTTGAAAGTTAAATTTTTTGTAGATCCGTTTTGGCTATGGAGCGAGTAATTGAGCGAATGCTGAATCACTTGGCAGTTCGTATAGTTATTTCTAAAGTGGAGTCTGTTTGCCAAGTGTTTTTATATCTTTGATGATATATTATATGCATTAAAGAGAGAAAACTATATTATTACTATTGTTCACAGTGAGTTACATAATGGCATGTAGATAAATTTGGAATATATGAAGATCCTTTAGTATTAAATGATATTATAATAAGTGTATAAATGCTGAACTTTTAAACATATGCGTTATTAACAGAAGCAAGGCGATGCAGCGCAGCTAAAAATAGAAATTGAGTATGTTAGCAAATGAAGTGCTGTTAATATTACATGATCTTAACAGCAGAAAGGGAATGTCCCACTGCTGAGTGTAAAAATTATTAACAGCAGCAAGGCAGAGGCTTGCTGTTACCGTTAACTGCTGGGAAATTGAGGTTATGTTAACGTTATCTATTAAAAAATCTTAACAGCTCTTTAAATACTAATGTTAAATACAAGGTATTTACACTCGCATTCTCTGTCGACATCCCTTCAACTCTGTTAATTAATTTCCACGTAAAACGCCAGCTTCTGGCTTTCATTTGCGGCTGCTGCATTCGAATTAGAAAATTATTAAATAGTTATTTATATGCCATTTCCCGTTTGCCATTTGTGCATTATTTTTTTTATTATATTTCTTTCAGCTTGTAGCCAATTTCTGTGCATGCTTCGCTGGCAGTGAAAGTTGTCAACGTCCACGTCCATGTTAACGCCCCCCACGATTTCTACTCTAGTTTTTTTTGCCTCTTTTTCTTTACATTTCTATTTCTATTTCGATTTCAATGGCGTGTGGGCAAAGCATGGCAAAGCGACCAATGAGAGGCAGCGCTTATAGCCATTAATATCTGGCATTCATCTCTGTGTCTGCTGCACGAGTGCATGAGTATCTTTTATCTGTATCTGCAGCTGTAAATGTATCTGTAAATGTATCTGTATGTTGTATCTGCTGCCACAACGCGTGTCTATTGTGCTTTGGCTGTCAGGTGTGAAGTAGGTGGAGTTTTGTCTGCTTGCCTAAAGAGTGCATTTCGCTTTGCTTGGCTGGACCTTTGTGGTCTTTCAACCGCCTGTGAAGCAGCAATCCTGAATGCTCTTTGCTGTTTAAACTAGGCTAAACGTTGGAGAGAAAGAGAAGGAAAGTTTCCATTTATGGATGACACTGAATAATATCTGCTGTTCTTGAAATTAAATACTTCAGAATCGAACTTTAGACAGTTATCGCAATTGTGGCTTCCTATGTTGCTGTAAGAGTGCCAAATAATATAGTTTTCGAGAAGGAAATATTTAAAATATATTAATAATTTAATAGAGTTAAAGTCTTTTAAGGATCGATTTCGGAATTGAATTATATTTCATACAGTTCCTTAAGCTGTTATATTTTATAAGAGCGTATAGCTATGAGTTAGCAAAGCTTAATCGAAGCTTAGTTCGGTTAGTATTTGATAGAGTAATAATCATTTCATATTTTTAAAAATTGTTTAATTCAGAATGAATCTAAAATGATTGAAACTCACCTAAAAGCAGTTGAAATTTAATTTAATTTAATTTATTATTATAATTAATATTAATTTATTATTATATTTTTAGTTGAACTTTAACTATTATTATATTATTATTATTATTATTATTATTATATTATTCTAATATCATTTATAGAACGAAATCCATTGAATTCGAAACTTCAAAATTCATAAAAATTTTTAAGTAGCCAATTAACATGTGAAGAAGAATCTGAAGAAGAGATTCGTTCGAAATACAAAAATTCAAGTTTTAGAAGATCTGGCTGAATTATAATAGAGTTAGACTTAGACTTGGGTGAAGTAGAGCCTCCCTTTGAGGTTGGGCACATCAGGCTCTAGGACAAAGCCTAAGCAAGTGTCTTAGCTAATGCACTGCGATGCAAGCAAGATCGTTAGGTAAAGCATCTTCCCAATGGATCTGCTAACACTCATTTAAATGGCCGCACACGCATTTAAAAATAGAGCGCTCATTACATTTGCTGGAAGAGGGCGGAAGGAGAGAGGCGGCCCAAGTGCGGAACGGGGAGAAAATAAAGCAAACATGCCGTCCGTGCTTATAGATAGATAGTGTGACTCGAAATGCAAGGGGGCTGGAGCTGGGGGCAACTGCAGCCGGCAACGAACGCATAAATTGCAACTGCTGTCGCGCTGCCAATGGAGCGCAATAATTCACAAATAGCAACAGCAACTCGGACGGCACGAAGTGCAACTGCATTGCCACTGACAGAGCGACGGAGAGACCGAGAGAGAGAGAGAGAGATCCTAACCCCCGCTCTCTCTCTCTCATAGTCGCTGGGCGCCGTTCCATGCCAGTCCGTTTCTGTTGGAGGTATCGTAGCTGGCAGTCTGTTTGCTAGCAGCGCGTCGCGTTCATTTACGGGTTCAAGGTAGTTTAGTTCTCTCGCCTCAAACGAATCGAACTCGCACACACACACACACACACACACACACACACACACACACACACACACACACACACACACACACACGCACACATGCTCGCACTCGAATCTTAACTCGATGCGTTGCGATTCGATGCGGTAGCGCGAACTTCTTGTAATTGTTGCTGTTCTTGGTGTTGTTGTTGTTGTTGTAGTTTGCTGCTGCTGGCACGCATTACGTTTTCAATTGAATTTTTCCAATTCATTTTGTCATTTGGCCACATTTTCGATTGCGCTTCACAATTTATTTTGACTGAAGGCGAACAAATTTGCAGTTTTCGCTACAAGAAAATGTTTGATTTTTTGGAGCAACTGAAATATTATTAAATTATTAAATTGTTTTAAAAACTTATTCGCAGTTGAGCATAGAAAATATGTAGACACAAAAAGAGACACAGAAAGTATTCTAAAATTATTAGAAATAGATAAATAATTATAGATTATAATTATTTCATTATTATCCTTGAGTTGGCTTAAAAAAATATAAAAAAAATATTTTATAAATTATATAAATTATATTAAATTATTAAATAAACAAGTTATAATATCTAAATATATATAAATTAAAAAATGAGAATATTTTTAAAATATGTTAAAACTATAAAATTAATATAAATAATATTTCATATATTAATAAACCAAAAAAATAAAAAAAATATATAAAATATACATAAAAAAGACTAAAAAATATAAAATAATATAAAAAAAATGTATAAAAATATATTTAAATATGTAAAAAAAATATAAAAGTATGTATAAGAAACATATAAAAATATTAGGAAATATTTTAAAAAATATATATTTAAATATTATAAATATATACTTTAATTGGAAGTACAAAGCCTATGAAATTTTAATATTTTTAAACTTGTTTTTGCTTGTACGTATATAAGAACCTAAAATACATTTAGTTTGCTCTATAAAATGAACTCGGCGTAAAACAGAAACTAGAAAAATTGTGTTAGGGAAAGTTCCGAAAATAGATGCATAGATAGATAGGGACAGCCTGTTGCTGTTGGGCTTAGCAAATTTCTTTAACGTATCTATAAATCTGGCAACTTTAAGCACACATCGCTTGAACAAGTTAATTAAAAGTCTTTAGCGGGCTTCGAAGCGCTCAGCTCTTAAAGTCAATTACAGTGCCTGGGGCCATGTCATCGGAAATTGTGCTTCGTCTATTGCATGTCTATGGATTGGCAATAGCTGAGAGCCAATAAATCGGCTATTCATGTCCCTACGGTCAACTGTTTCCACATGCCACATGTGTTCCCGCTGCCACTTGTGCCTGTGCCTCTGCCCCCCGCCTCTGCCTCTGCCTGTATATTGTTAATGGATCTATACGCTTGGGAACAGGCCACGAACTGGGTGTGTGTATGTGTGTGTGTGTGTGTGTGCCGAGACCTTGATCCCGCATTAAAAAGTTGGCACGTCGTCGTGAAGCAACAGGGCAAAAGAAAAAAAATAGCAAAGCAAAAATAAAAGATAAAAGAGCAGAGTCAGAGTCGGAGCCAGGCAAAGGCAAAGGCAAAGGCAAAGCCAGCAAAAGGAGACACACAGCATGTGCTTGCTTTTGGGGGTGGGTGTGGAAGCAGCGACAGCCAGGCCTCTGCTCTCTCCTCCTCTCCCTCCCTCTCGCTCTCCCCCTGTCTGTGTGTTTCAGTTGCGGCACTCCTCACTCGCTCAAGCAGCCGCTGATGATGATCTTCATTGTTTTTAATTTGCGTCGCATTTTTGTTGCTTTTCACTTGAAATTGAAACTTTGTTGTTGCTTCAAATGGGAAATGAAGCTTTTTGTGTGAAATGCGTGAAGCATGCAAATTAATTACAAATTTGCTGGCGATTTGAGTAAAATACTAAACATGCCCATGCCAACATATTACGTATACGCCTGGGGTTTCAGCTCAATTTTATATAAAATATTTAAATACAAAACTTAACTAATTTGAATTCAAATTTCTTCTCTTTGCAGTTGCAGCACAAAAACTGTTCGACAAAACCGAAATTGCATTTCTGTCAGAAATTTCGAATAAACATGTGAGAATTACAGGTGTTTTGGCAACTCACTAAAGCAAACAGAGTAAACATTTCAAATATAATTTCAATTTAAGCAAAGAGAAGAAGAAAAAACATAACGAAGACACTTAAGAAGAAAGGAACTTCAAATGATTAAGAAAATGCGAGCCTTGAAGAGAAGCAAATGAAACGAGCAACAAAGCAGTAAAAACAAACAACAAAAACAAACAACAAAAACAAAAAACAAACAACAAAAACAAAAATCAAAAATGTGCAACAAAAGTCAATAAGGAAAAGCTAACAGTAAACGCAGCAACAACTCTGTAGGAAAGCTGCAACCACTTGCGGCAAGAGCAACAGCAACAGCAGCAGCAGCAGCAGCAGCAGCAACTGCAACAGTTAAAGCAACAGCAACAAATATAACCAAACCGTAACGCGAACAATTGCAAAATGGCCATCAACTTCTCGGCCTCGTTTGCGGCCTGCATAGCAGCGGGCCTGAAGGTGCCCCGCCAGATAATGTACTGCATTACGCAGGACACGGGCCAGCCGTACGTGCTGTACAAGGACTCGCAGGACGCGGAACGCAATGCGGGCGCCATTGGCGCCAGTGCCGCCCAATGGGGCAGCGACATGTACCCCAACATACAGCAGCAGGCGCAGCAACATCTCAGCGCACAGCAGCAGCAGCAACAGCAGCAGCAGCAGCAGCAACAACAGCAGCAACAGCAGCAGCAGCAGCAGAACGCCACAGTTGCCGCACAGGCAGCGGCGGCGGCAGCAGCTGCTGCAGCAGCGGGCCAGCCACAGAGTCCGCCGGGCGGCCAAGAGGCGCGCGACAATGGCAGCGGCGATGGCCGCCAGCAGCAGGTGTCGCCCTCCTCCAGTCCGTATCCTTCGGTGCAGCAGCAGCAGCAGCAGCGAGCGAATGGCAATGCCGACGACGACGCCATGAATCAGGTGAGCGGCAATGATTGCGTTTGCTTAGCTTTAAGCTAAGAGTGAACGCTGACAGCTGGCGAGTGTCGCCTAGAGTTGCTTACAAACTTCACTCAATGCAACTGAGGCTAGACAGGATATAGTAACAGATTAATTGAAGCTGAAATTGAACTAAGCCTAACTCTTCAGATTATTTCTAGAAATTAATTTCTAGCAATTATTTTTAGAAATTAATTTATTATTAAATTACTTAATTAATAATTAATTACTGTATCTAAAAGTGATACTTTTCCAGCTTAGATCCTTTTTAAATATTTTCAAAAATTTTGAATTTGTCTGCTGAGCAAGAGAGCTGCCTCAAGAGAAACTCTTAGCAGTTAGAATTAGGCAAAAGAAAAGAGAAGCTGCTTAGTTAATTCAACTAAAGATACTTTATTTCTAATATAAATTTTTGAATTATTTTTTAGAGATTTACAAAATCAAATAAAGTATTTTCAGCTGTGTTTGAGGCAAGGCAAATTGAACTTCTTCTTTTAATAGTACCCCTAAGCAGTACCCTTAAGAATTGTGCTTGCAGTTGAGGCTTAGAAAATGCAGTTTCAAATTCGAATTCTGCACATTATGAAATATTAAAAATGATTTTATTTTAGCTAAAGTTGCGACTATGCATAGTTAAGATTGCTAAACTTAAGATATATAAAACAAAAAATGCTTGACTTGACTCTCTCTCTCCCTCTCTCTTTCTCTCTACTCTTCCCCGCTCTCACCTCCTACTCGCAGCTTGCCAATCAACAAAACTCCGCGCCAAATCCAAACCAAAGCAGCAACGAGCCGCAGCACGCGCCCACGAACGGCGGCGAGGCTGGACAGGGTAATCCGCATGTGCAGCAGAATGGCGGCGGGCAGCCGCAGGGCGATCCGAGCAACGGCTTCCAGACGCCCGACTACTATGCGCCGCGCCATGGGGCGCCGCAGGGCGGCATGCTGGCGCCACCCGGCTTCCCGCCGTTGCACTATCTGAACAAGGGCGTGCTGCCCATGGAGCAGAACGGCGGCGAGTCGTATGCGCTGCCCGAGCTGCTGCCCGGCCAGCAGCAGCAGCAGCAGCAACAGCAGCAGCAGCAGCAGAATGGCGCACAGGCGAACGGCGGCCCGGCGAATGGCAATGCCAATGAGGGCGCAGCGGCGCCCAATGGCGGAGCGGCGGGCGCGGCGGGCGCCACGGGGACGACGAGCGGTCGCACGGGACCTGGCCGCCCGCACAAGAACAAGCCGCACAGCGACTTGCGGCTGTTCAAGTGCCTCACCTGCGGCAAGGACTTCAAGCAGAAGAGCACGCTGCTGCAGCACGATCGGATACATACGGACGCCCGTCCATTTCCGTGCTCCGAGTGCGGCAAGCGCTTCCGACAGCAGTCGCATCTGACGCAGCATCTGCGCATCCACGCCAACGAAAAGCCATTCACCTGCCCGTACTGCTCGCGCAGCTTCCGGCAGCGAGCCATACTCAACCAGCACATACGCATCCATTCGGGTGAGAAGCCCTTCGCCTGCCCCGAGTGCGGCAAGCACTTTCGCCAGAAGGCCATCCTCAATCAGCATGTGCGCACCCACCAAGGCGAGCGACAGTTAACACATCCATTACCGATAACGATAACGATAACGATAGGCGATGGTGCAGCACTGCGCCATCGCCCGCTAGTCAGGGCCGCAAGGCAAACCAGCTATTTGACCCACCTGGTAGCACCTTTCGTAGCTGCTCTCGTAGTGCTAGAGCGAATCGTTTGGCTAACTGCGTTTGCAGCAATGCAAATCCCTTGCAAAATTCTCCAAAATTACAAATTCCAAATTACAAATTGAGCGATGTTTTGGCCGAAATTAAATACATTTTTTTTTAAATATATCTTTAATCTATTCCAAATTTAAGTTGTTGACTCTTTGAGGCTGTCCGAGAATGGAAAAAAGACTTTCAGCATGCAAAACTGATTTAATGTGCATTTGATCCTTGAAGTCAAAGAACTTAATATAAAACTAGGCTGGGGAATACCCGCAATGTTACTCATAGTTGAAGCAAGTTGATTTAATATAGAAAAAAAATAAACTAGTTACTTTTTGCTAAATATTTAGCAATATATGAGACATTGTGTTGAGGAATACCCTTAATATTATTTTTTAAAATTTTAAAAATCATTTAGAATCAAGTTGAAATAATAGAAAAAATATTTTTAAATTTTTGATGCATTTTTTTTTAAATATATAAATTTTAATAGCTACAGGAGTACCCTTAATGTTACTTAGAAATTAAAAAGTAGCTTTTCAAATATATTAAAAAAAGTCTTAATTTTTAGCTAGATATTGACAAATAAATAGGCACTTTTTAGTGGAATACCCATAATGTTTATTGAAAATTAATTAATATATTTACAAGAGAACAATTAAAGAGCAAAATATAGATTTCAATTAGAGCACAATAATGAGAAGTGCATAAGGAACTATAGCACGGAATACCCTCAATATAATTTTCTTAAAAATAATAATAAACGAAGCTAGAGACTCACCATATTGAAAGGGCTTTGTTGTGGAATGCCCCTAATAGTTATAAAACAACAGATCACATGGATCGATAGCCCAAATAAAAAAAGTTTAAGCATTAAAAAAAAATAATTTAGAAAATTTATAACAAAAAAAAACTAGTTCTTAGCAATCTTTGGCATTTTAATCAGCCAATTTTCAAGTCTTGCAAAAGTCAGGAATAATAAAAAAAATGGATAAAAAAAGTTCATTCCGTTTAAGGGCCTCAAGCAGTCAACAACTTTAACAAACAGAAAAATAGCAAAAAAAAGAAAACAAAACAAAAACAAAAGCAAAAACAGAAATATTTAAAAGGAAGAGTCTCTCTAGTTTAGTGCAAGATGCTAGGCGAGTTATGTGATAAGATCGAAGGTGGCTATGAGCCAAGTTTAAGCGCTGCTAACGGTGGCACTCTCTGGCTTGATTACTTTCATATACACCCGGCTGCGGATCAACACGTCCCTACCACAGATGTCTCGCCGCATCTCATCTTCAAGAACGGACCCCACCCGACGCTCTGGCCCTCGGACGTGCCCTTTCCGGGCGAGGAGGCGGACTCGAAGGGCGACATTGCCGTCGCTGGCGGCGGCTACCATGACGACGACTCGCAGGGCACACCCGACGGCAGCGGTGGCATGCACTATCCGTCCTACTTCAAGGACGGCAAGGGTGAGTAGAGTAGCTGGCCAAACGCCACCAGGTGCAGTCTCTTAATCATTGTCCAACTAGCAGGCCAAAAGATACTGCCCGAGGTGCTGCAGCATATTGGCGTGCGGCCGGCGAATATGCCGCTCTACGTGCGCTGCCCCATCTGCGACAAGGAGTTCAAGCAGAAGACGACGCTGCTGCAGCACGGCTGCATACACATCGAGTCCCGGCCGTACCCCTGCCCGGAGTGTGGCAAGCGCTTCCGCCAGCAATCGCATCTCACGCAGCATCTGCGGATTCACACGAACGAAAAGCCCTTCGGCTGCATGTACTGTCCGCGCTTCTTCCGCCAGCGAACCATTCTGAATCAGGTGAGTGTTGGGGCCCATTATCTGGACAGCTGACTCTAACTGCATCTCCTCCCCAGCACTTGCGCATTCACACCGGCGAGAAGCCCTACAAGTGCGGCCAGTGCGGCAAGGACTTCAGGCAGAAGGCCATACTGGATCAGCACACGCGCACCCACCAGGTAGTTGTAGCCTAGCCGAGCCCCGCAAGTGCGCCGCAGCTGGCAATGCGACGACGTCGACTAACACTCCGATCTCTTCTTCTTGCTAGGGCGATCGTCCGTTCTGCTGTCCCATGCCCAATTGCCGGCGACGCTTTGCCACCGAGAACGAGGTGACGAAGCACATCGACAACCACATGAATCCCAACAGCACCAAGGTGCGCCGGCAGCAGCAACAGCAGCAGCAGCAGCAGCAGCAGGTGCAGCAGGTCCAGCAGCAGGTGCAGCAGCAGCAGCAGCAGCAGCAGGTGCAACAGCAGCAGCAGAATGCAGCCGCCTCGGCGGCCGTCGTCAATCATCTGATGAACGATGCCAAGAGCCTGGCCGCGCAGCAATTCCTCAACAACAACAATCCCGCCGCTGTCGACAACAAGGCCAACATCTTGCCGGTGCGCAGCATGGCGGCGAATGCGGCTGCGGCAGCGGCAGTTGCCCAGCAGTCGGTGGTCAAGAATGAGCTATACTTTCCGCAGTGCTACGGCCCGCCCTTCCAGCATCCCTTCCACGCCCAGCAGCAGCAGCAGCAACAGCAGCAGCCGAGCGCAGCGCACGCCAATGGACCCACGCCGCCTGTCACGGTCACCGTGGCCAGTGCACCTGGCGTTGTGGTGCAGCAGAATGCGGCCACCTCTGTGGTGGCCCAGTGACATCCCACCACTGGAGCAGCTGGAGCCCAACAGCAGCAACAGCAGCAGCAGCAGCAGCAGCAGCAGCAGCAGCAATCGGTGGTGGCAACAACAACAACGCATCATCCGCCGCCACCGGCGCCGCCAACAAGTGCGCATCATATCACGGCGACGGGCGTTGCCACAGCCCCGCCCACATCGACACACGCCTCGACGGTGGCGGCGCCGCAAACGGTGACGCTGTCAATAACATTGCCGCCGCCGCCGCCGCCAACGGCGCATCCGGCGCACACGCATGCAGGACATGCGCTGGCGGCCACGGCCAACGGCGTGGCGCCACCACCGCCGCCGCCCACACTGTCGCACGCGATACCCATACACCCGCACATACACTCGATATTCGGATCTCTATGATGTCATCAGTAAGCAGCGCAACGCAGCGCAGCTCCACACATCAAGCCAACAACAATGCTCCAGCCACGCCCACATTTTAAAAAACAATCAAAACAAAAGAAAAACCTATATATTCGCAATATTTTGTAAGTCTTTAATAGTTCGCTTAAGTTCTTTAGTTGAAGTACTAAAAATCAAAAACACGAAATTCTCCTAGTTTTTAAAGGAAGTCAGACATATATGATCCATGTATATATATATATATGTATGTGGCATGAACAGACGAGTACTAGTCTTTTCGAAAAGGACTCTAAACTCCTTTGACACACACACACACGCAGGTTGGTTGAAGAAGCGAACAGAGAAGTTGGCAAAGAACTTCAACCCAGACACAACGTTATACGATTCCTTTTCTCTATAAACAAGTTTTACTTTAGGAACTTACTTTTAACTAAACAAATTTGTACCGAAAAGTTCACGGAGTTATACGATTTTTAGGCGTAGTTGGATAGAGGGAGTGAGAGAGAGAGAGAGAGGTAGGCAGTGCGAGTGAGCGTGATAGATGGGGCAGCTAGAGCGATAGGATTAGAGAGAGAGAATCAAGAGGCGTTCGACGTTGCGCTGAGCAAATTATGTTTATTAATAATTTAATATCTTTTGGCACAGAAGTAGAAGTAGAAGACAGCAGCTAATTTATGTGAAATATTCTATTTGATTTAAATATATGTTTAAGCAACTATTTAGTTCTATCTTGGAGTTGCGCGTAGACTTTGATTGAGATGTGATTTTTTTTAATTATAATTAAAAAAACAAAAAACAAGAAAAAACAACAAGAACTAACATGCAATTTAATGTTTAATTTAAACTATTTTTAATTTAAGTTTTGTAAATTGGAAACAAACAAAATTTTTGTTGTCTTCCCCCAACTGTTTGTGTGTAATTTATGTTGAGTTTTATTAAGTAATTAGCAAACTATATATATATATATATATATATATACTTATATATTCAACTATGTCCACACATGGCAACAGACCCGAACCCCACCCCCACCCCAACCCCAACTTGAACTCCCAACAAAAAACTGTTTATAGCAAAAGGTAATCCAGATGTGACTCTTCAGGTGCCATACACTAAACAAACAATAGTCAGACACAATCTGATAACTGTGTGGATATATGCAAACGACAGCGAAGGCAAAAAACAATCAAAAATTTAGTTTCTTATATCAAATTTTCCAATGTACCGTCAAAGCATTTATAATTGTTATTAAACTAATAGAATATGTTACCTAAAACCGAACAGAAATTAATTATAATTTAGCTAACCCCGATTTGCAAGTAATTTACTCACACTCACACACACACACACACATATATATATATATGTATATGTGTAAAGAAAACAATATATATATATATATAGAAATTATATTATGTAATTTTTAATGTTAAGTTTCGATTCGATATCAAATTATGCAAATTGATTTGTTTTTTACTGTTTTAGTTTTTAAAATTATGTTTGCATCTTATTATTTAAACATTTTTAATAAACCAACAAATAATTTTAATTTCTTTTTTATATATATATTTTGATTTGTAATTTAATTATGGAGTAATTACACTACACAGCAAACCAAACGTTTCGGCTTGGGCAAGGCGTCTGACTTTTTGTGATAGGCTCAGCAAAAACACTTTTCGGCAATTATTGGGCAAAGCAAATTGTAAATAGTCAAAAAACAACAAAAGTTTTATAAATAGTTTCAAGTTAAAGAACGAAAATAATATTAACAACAAAATTGTTTGGCATCTTAAGCATTTTACATTAACGAAGGTTAGTCAAAATTTTAAAACAAAAACAAAAACAAAAACAAAAAAAAACACTTTTAGGCACATTTGAGAAAGAACAAAACAAAGAACAACCAAATTGCATGTGGCAACAGAAGAGGAAGAAGAACAAGAACAAGAGATCTCTATGATATCCAATACGAACGGCTTTTATTGGAATTAGACCAAGTTAATCGAAGAACAGCATGATTTGCTATAAGTGCGAGCAAAATTAACACTAAGCTATAAATCCTTTGGGCCTTTTTAGACGAAATTTTTAACAATTATGTTTGGCTTTAAAACGAATATCGAAAATCGAAACAGTTACAAACACCTTTTGGCTTTAAATCAAAATTATGTTTAGTTTTAGTTAACTAAAGTGAATATCTACTATATAAATATAAATAATTATATATCAATTGTGGCAAATTATGCTATAATTCCAATAAAAGCAAAAATTTAGACTGAATGTCGCTGTGATAAATGCAAAAAACAAAAACGAAAACGAAAACAAAAAATTTAATGATTACATAAAACTTTTGTAAAATTTTAGGCATAAAAAAATACAAAATTTAACAAATTAATCAAAAAAAAAAACAAAACATTTAACATAAATTTAGGCGCTAAAAATTAATATAAAAAAAAAAAACAAAAACAATTTTGAAAACTAAGCAAAATTTTCTGAAATGCTCCAATGAAATTTATGATTTCCGTTTTAATTTTTAACATATTTCACTTATGATTTCCAAATATTATTATTTTTTGTAGTTGCAAACGAAATTTCAAGTGAGAGAAAGCATAGATAGCTCCAAACAAACACACAAACGACAAGAAATCAGAAGGAAACGAGAACAATAAGAAAGCTGCTTCAGTGAGAGTAAAACCAACAAGAAAACTAAACTAAAAACTAAAAACTAAAACCGGCTATGACAAACAAACTAGATGAGAGTCAGATGAGTGTGGACACCCCAGAGGGACACACTCGAGAGTGAAGAGACAAACAGCCTAGACAGACAAAGGGGCTAATAATAATGAAATGAAATGATGTAGTTTAAGCCAGTCCTGGAAACATATATGCATACATACTCGTATATAAGAGAACCCTCAATAAATAGTTAAAGTTAAAGACAGACAGGAGACAGGGAGGAAGGGGAGAGAGCAGAGAGTTCTACACACAAGCAAGTTACAAGCATACCTAACAACAACCAACAACAATAGCCCAATTTAAATAACCAAGAGTACAAATACAAGTAATTTTTATAGCAGAAATTTTAATTGCAGTCTCAATAAAGCATCCATTAAACAAATATGTAACTACACACACACACACACACACACACTGACACACACAGAGGCATGGATATGAAAAGAAAACAGAAAAATTATAAAAATTACCAAACTTGGCCAATCAAAAACTTCAAATGAGAAAATGAAAAAAGAAAACCAACTTGACAAAAAACCAAAAAAAAGAGAGAAAAAGAAAACCAAAACGAAACAACTCAAGAAAATCCTTTCTTCTTAAAATTAAAACAAGAAATTATAATAAAAATGAAAACAAAATGAAATCCTAAAAATAAAAAAAATATAAGAAACTCAATATAATATTTAAAGATAAATGTATTCCAAAAACCCATCCGGCTTACAGTTCAGATCACAGCAAAAACAAAACACAAATTCATAGTAAATGCCCACAAACAACAACAACAAGAACAACAGTGATATAGAGTGTTACCATTCTATGTCTGAATACAAACCGCTTTCGCTTTCTGCAATAGTGATAATAGTTTTAAGTCGAGAACCATCTAAAGCAAACGTAAAACTTCAAGCAAATCAATAAAACAGAACGAGAAAAATATATGAAAATTATAGATAAATACGCATTGAAATAGCAACGGTAAGCAACAACAACAACAACAATAATAATAATAAAAGTAATAATAATAATAATAACACTAACAAATCATAATAATTTAACGTTGTAAGTCCCATGAGAGAAGAAGAAGAAGAAGAAGAAGAAGCTGTTTGATTTGATTGAACGAATCGAGTCAAAACTTGATTCGATGCATTTCATTTAGACTTTTAGTTGAATTCTCAAATATCAACAACAACAAGAACAACAAGAAGTATATATACATAAAGCTAGATACATACTATATATACATATATATATATACCACAGTATATATGTATGCGAATACAAACAAATAGCATATAGTGCATGGAAACCTTAACTCTTATATTATATATATGTATGGTGTATTATATTTTTTAACGTATTTAATACATACTCTATATACGATATATATATACACATATATATCTAATTGTATTTGACGTAAATGCGAAACCAAAGCCAGAAATGAAATCGAAAATGAAATAGAATGAATTATCAGACAGCAGAGCAGTACTGAAAGTATGTGTAAACAAGAGAAATACTTAAGCAATATGAAACTGTTTTTATTTAACTGAAAACTGTTAAGATACAAACAAACAAACATACAAACAACAATAGCCTCGTTAGTTTTTAATGAATACGAATACGAAACAGTGAAAAAAAAACAAAAACAAAAACAAAAACAAAACAAAAATAATTCTAAACAAGCAAAATATTGCAAAAAGCTCAAAATGTTGGCGACTTGGCAACCCTGGGGCATAGAGTTGGGCTTCGACTGCGGCTCGTTTCACATTTGCAATTTCAGTTATTTTATGCAACAATCAAAACATGGTTCCTCACACACACACACACACCTACACACACTTGTACAGTTCATAACTGAGTTGACTAGACATAGAACCTACCTATATATAGAGAATACTTAACAGACAACATGAATGCCATA